GCCTATAAGGATACAGAAGTAGAGCCTGGATTGACAACAGCCAGGCTGACCACTAACATCATGACCTTTAACCTTTTTGGTTCATGACCTTTGGTTTCTAGCTTGTGTTTTATGTCCTGTTGGTTGAAGGGAGAGCAACAAGGAGAGAACCAAGTCATCAACTGTCCACACTAAAGGAAGCGTGGAGGCAGCCACCATGTGGCCAGGCCCTTTCATCTGCTTCTCCACTCCCCTGTGGCCACCCTGGGTGAAGGCCTGTGTGTGGCCAGGGTTTCCTTCTTAATTAGAGAGGACCCCAGCTCCAAGCTATTCTGAGAAAAATAAACAGGAAGGAGACAGAGAGAGACAGACAGAAAGAGAGAGAGAGACCCTTTTGGGTGGAGGAAACTGTAGAGGAAAAGACAACACTCAACTACAAAGTTGCATTGAGAATGAAAATACTTTGAACCTGCTCTCTTATTGATAGTCCAGTTGCGCAAAAATGAATTTCATATAAACATCCTCTCTCATATTAGAACTGGAAAAAGAATCCATTCCCCCAGTCAGCTTTGAAAAGGCCCAGTTACTGGGGCACCGTGTGGGACAGAATTCCCACACCCAGAAAGAGCTGCCGCGCTGCAGGAGAGCTCCCGATCTAAACCCGGCGACTCTGCCAGATTCTTCCTGTTCCCGTTTGTCCCCATGTATGCAGTCTTCCAGGAGAGAGGGGGCGCTGCCTTCATTTTACCCACACTCTTCCTTCTGTAGCTGGTCTTAGCTCAACTCTCTACAAATGTGAAATCCGAGAAGGGTCTTAGGCCAGCACATAACTATTGCCCCTTTGTTTGGAAGTTAACATGTGAGACATTCATTGTAGCTTCAGACAGTATCCACAAGAATCCTGAGCAAGACTCTATCAAGAGAGATTCCTTTCAACACTCTCACCCAGTCTGGATGGTGACACAGGACCCTAACATGGGAAACCTTGGGCTTCTCAGAGACCAGCAACCTGCATCCTTCCTTACCAGCAGCATAGTGAAGGTCTTGGCTTTAGTCGTGGCCCTGTCCGAATGTGGACTGGTGGTGGAGGGTGACATTAGTTGATGCTGGTCTCCCTCCCTGCACCATCAGATGAGACCGCTGGACACACTGCTCTCACTGTGTCACTATTTGGGGGCTCAAAATCGATGGCTCTCTTTGAGCCCGAAAATAACAGCAGCAATCTTCACCCAGGAATTTCAGTGTCTCTGTGGTGCCAGCAGCCGCCTTCCATACCCGTCTTTGTTCTTCATCTTCTCGCCATGTTCCCCACACATTTTCCAACATTCATTCAGCCAAACATTTTTCTACATTTATGCTTTTACACACACACACACACACACACACATACACACACACACACGTGTAAATATTGATCCTACCAGTTTTTTCCTCCCTCTTTAAGACACAGGGCCAGGGGGCTGGAGAGATGGCTCAGCAGTTGAGAACACCTACTGCTTTTGCAAAGGATCAGAACTCAGTTCTGAACATCTATTGCACCTATTAGGCAGCTCACAACTGCTTGCAGCTCCAGCTCCAAGTGCTCTGGCACCTTCTGGATTCTATGGGCATTGCACTCTGTTGTAAGGAGCTGGGCCCCTTGTTTGTCCCTGCTGCCCGCTCCTGGCTGCCTGGCTCACTTAACCCCTGAAATAATCACACAGAATATTAATTAAATTACTGCCTGGCCCATTATATCTAGCCTCTTCTTGGTCAACTCTCACATCTTGATTTAACCCATTTATAACAAATCTGTGTATCACCACGTGACTGTGGCTTACCGGCACGATTCTAACCTATGTCTATCTCAGGCCGGAGATTCATGGTGTATGCCACACTTCCCTTCTTCCCAGCATTCTGTTCTGTCTACTCTGCCTACCTAAGGGCTGCCCTATCAAATTTCCAAGGCAGTTTCTTTATTCAACCAATGAAAGCAACACAAATACAGAAGGACCCCCTACACCCGTACTCACCTGCACAAAAGTGCATGCTCTCAATCCAGCTCTCTTTTTTTGGTCTCTCTCTCTATCTCCCTCCATTATCCCTCACCACCCCTTCCTCCTACCCTTTCTCTCTCACACACACAGTTTAAAAATAAAATAAAACGTATTTTTTAAAAAAGACATAAGGTCAAGATATTTTCTTAATTTTTTAAACTATTGACTCATTCTCTGTGTATGGTGTTTTACCTGCATGTATGTATGTAAAAGTGCATGTTTGGTGTCATCAGAGGTCAGAAGAGGGTGTCAGATCCCCTGGTACTGGAGTTAATTAAGATGTATTAATTTGCTTGTGCTGTGCAATATTTGTCTAATGATACAGAGATGTGCTGCATTCTTTTATGTTGCATTTGTTTAACTCTGTAAAGCTGTGTTACTTTGCCTGCCTAACACACCTGATTGGTCTAATAAAGAGCTGAATGGTCAATAGCTAGGCAGAAGAAAGGATAGGAAGGGCTGGTGGGCAGAGAGAATAAGTAGGAGGAAAAATCTAGGAAGGAGAGCTAGGAGTGAGAAAAGGAGGAGAGGACACCAGGGACCAGCCACACAGTAACCATGAAGTAAGATGGAAAGAAAGATATATAAAGAAAGGTTAAAAAGCCCAGAGGCAAAATGTACTTAAAGAGAAACAGGATAATTTAAGTTAGAAAAACTAGTTAGAAACAATCCAAGCTATGGCCATGCATTCATAAGTAAGAATAAGTCTCTGTGTATTTATTTGGGAGCTGGGTGGTGAGTCCTCAAAGAGGAAAAACCAACAATTGATGACTATGACCAGTTGTGTGGATGCTGGGCATAGAATCTGGGTCCTATGGGAAAGCAGCAAATGTTCCTAACTGCTAAGTACTTCTCCAACCTCTCAGGTCAAGATCATTTTGTTTATGGATCTTCTTACCTGGACCTATAGGCTCCTTCATGGTCTCCCAAAGTGCTTGGTCCACTGTAGTCTGTGTGTTATAACTTGGTAACCTCTACTCCTGAGGACACTTCTTGCACAGAGCTCTTTATCTGTGCCAGGATTGGACTTCCTCAAGTTGCTGTCTTGTTCCTGCCAGTGTCCCCAGGGGAAGCCTGTGATTAGATGGTGACTCAAAGTAATTAACCAGTGAGAGGAATCCGGAGGCAGAACAAAGTGAGTCAGGAAGGGATCTGGCCCATTGCTCACTGCTCCTCCTTTCCCTAAGTGCTCTTTTGGCTGCCTGACCTATACACCCAGACAAAACTTCCCTGGCCACATTTTAGGCAAAGGACTCTGTAATGATAGAGGAAGATGTCAGGGAAAGAGCACTGCTTGGGATTCTGGAGGCCTGGTGGCTGATCCTGACTTTCAAACACTTTAGACCCATCAGTACCCCATCTGGGTCAATAGCCTACTTCTCTTTAGGAGTTAAAAGTTGTACTAGATGGCATGTCCAGCTCTGGGTCAGGAGTTCTAACCTCTTTTCTTGTGCTCTATGCTCATGACGAGAACACCCCCTCCCCTATAAATCGAGGGTTAGATATAGAGTATGTAGCGAGACTTATGGAGCAGTTTTCCAGATGCCCACAGGCCATATTAAAATGTTTTAACACATGTAGAGTGCAGATTCTAGCTCTGACCCCAGGTCCTCCAAATGGCTCAGAAGAATTCTTGCTCTCACTTCATCCTCACTTTAATCTTAAGTTACTGCTACCTACTTTTATCATGTTGCAAATTTCCAATTCTTGGAGCAACACCATCTTTCTCAGGATGTTGCTCCTGGTAAGGATTCTATGCTGTCTTCTTCACCGTTCTTCATCCCAGGCCGTTAGTTCATTTGCCTAGTTGGGAAATTGAATTGAAGCCTTGGCAAGTACCAGAGGTGGTTTGAGAAGGCTGAGTCCTCATTAGCTTGTTCCCACAAGGGAAGTCAGGGGTCAAGACACTAAGTGTCTCTGCTGCGAAAGGAGCAGCATCTGCTGGTGGAAAAGCTCAGTGCAGGAGCACTGCAAGTGAAAACTAATGCATTGCAGAGAGTGCCTGGAACAATAAGATGCTGCCACGCTTTTTATGTGAGTAGCGATCTCCAGGAATGTCTGCTTCTTATAGGTCATCTGGCCTGTGCTATTAGAACCCAGCTCGTCCCGGAAGGGGGCTCTGCCACATGTGTGGCACCAATGGGGATTTCTGGATCTTGCTTTGTGAGAAACAGCTACCAAGTCACATGACTGAGAGACTTGAGATCTGAAATCGAGCTGCCGAGATTACTGAGTTCAAACTAAACCTTCTCAAACCTTCTAAAGCCAAAAGCTAAGAGAGCTATTGTTTAGCCTCAAATCACTTCGCTACTAAGCAAAAAGAGTATTCCTTTGAAATAGAGGCTTTTTTCCTGTTTCATTAAAAACAAAAAAGCAAACTAACAAAACCACTCCAAAGCTTAAGGGCATAGGAGCATAGAACCAGTTAAGTAGGGGGTGCTAAGCTATGTCTCAGTGTTATATTGTGTGAAGAGACACCATGACCATTGCAACTCTTTAAAAAGAAAGCATTTCACTGGGCTTCTTTATAGTTTCCAAAGTTTAGTCCACTGTCATCATGGTGGGGAACACGGCGACATGCAGACAGACATGGTGCTGGTTAGAATTCTACATCCAGATCCATAGGCAGCAGGAAGAGAGAATCACTGGACCTGTCCTGGCCTTTCAAAAACCTTAAAGCCCATCTCCAGTGACATGCATCCTCCAAAAAGACCACACCTCCTAATCCTTTTCGAACAGTTCTACTCCCTGGTGACCAAGCATTCAAATCTATGAGCCTATGGGAACCGTTCTCATCCAAACCACTAAAGGTTAGAACTTTGTCTTGAATGATTATCAAGGTCATGTTCTTGGTTGCCATCCACCTCCTCCAGGATCACCTGGACTGGGTGTGGATGTACAAATAAAGCAGTACCCTTCCCTGAAACTGTTTCTTGCCTTCCTGTTTGGACGTAGCTTCAGATTTGCTCTCCTTCCTCTTCCCAGGCTCCTTCCTTCTACTGAACACCTCTGCAGACTCCAAGCACACCATTCTGAGCCCCTGGATGAGGAGCAGCAGTGAGCACTGCACGCTGGCTGTCTCAGTGCACAGACATCTCCAACCTTCCGGGAGATACGTTGCCCAGCTACTGCCCCACAATGAAGCTGGAAGAGAGATTCTCCTGGTGCCTACTCCAGGGAAGCATGGGTAAGTCTTTCCCAAGGTTCCAATCGATTTTTTTGAGAAGGTTATTTGGCATTGGAATGCACGTTTCCAGACTCTAACATCTACTTAAGACTCACAATTGTCCTTTAATGGGTAGGTCCAGATTGAACCATTACTGCTAATATTCCCCAGGTAGTGCCTCGGGCCTTGATCTGTGGGCCCCCAGACTGCCCTGGCTAGTGGTCCTTCCAAGGGCCAGAGGACCAGCTGTCAGACTGGGCACTTAATGTGTGAAAGTTAAAGATATTCATGTCCCGAGGTCCAGATGGAGCCAAGGAGCAAACAGCTAAAGAGAATGTTAAACAGCTGCCATGAAATCAATTTAATATGCCAGAAAAATGGGTTTTATCAGCAGAATGTGTGCAAGAGAGGAAAAAAGACAAAATAGTGTAGCCACCCAAGCAGATCCTATGAGGTTATGCAGCCTGAAAATAGGATTAGCCAAGGATACACCCTAGTGTTAACCCAGCAGAGATTAGAAAAGAGCTTTGTTCTAGAACTTTCCAATGTGGCCCACCCTGAAGTCACCCAAGGCCGACAACATGAAAGGCTGCTAAGCTTCCTGGAAGTGTGACTTGCTCGCTCAGTGATCAATCATGCCTGTACAAGAAATGACATGGGAGAGTGACTTGAACCAAGCTGTCTGTCTTTGCGTCTCCATTCCTTCCATAATTCTATAGATAACATGTCAAGGTCTCAGCTCTGAGTGATCACATGTGTGATGACTTTTCAATGAGCAAGGGTGATGATCCTTCTTTGTAATGATTATAGTTTTTAAAAATTCTGATTTAATAACTATGCAAGGATTTGGTTTCCTCCCAAGAAAACCTCTTTTGAGGAGAGTCTCTCTTGACCAATACTTGTCACCCATCCCCCATCCTTGCGGTGTGCACAGGTGGAATCTCAACTACTGCTTTCCCAATTGGGTGACAAGATTTCTTCAGGCCTTTCTGTGAAGAAGACTCTTCCTCATCCCGTGCTAAGGATCTGTCTGTATTCAGTTGTATATAGAAGACCTCCATACCACAGCAACCCCGACAGGAATGAAATTTTTTATTATTTTGTTTGTGTTTCTGAGTTTTATTTGTTCTTTCTCTGGACATGACAAGAATGTTGCAGACTTGAACTCACAGGATCAGTGGTCCCCAGCACAAGATCATACCAGTTAAAATTCCAGCGTGTGTAGGAGACGGGCCCTGAGCCCTGAGCCCTGACCCCTGCGTGAGGGGTTATTGGCAGTTGATGATTATTAGGGGAAGCCCAAGGGATAGGGCTTCCCGTCCATTGGTAGGCAGGGCTAGTAGTAGCCTCAGAACAAGCCTGCTTCAGGGGTGGATTATTTTGACTTACCATTTCCAGCATTCTCTCGTCAGGCAGCCTGGTAGAGACTAGAGAGTGCTGCTTGGAGCTGCTGAGCCTTCAAGCAGTGAATCCCTAGGGTTCTGTGGATTGAGGCAGAGAATCACTGATGTCTGGGTGGCTGGAGTTAGAGAGCACCCTGAGAGACAAGCCTACAATATCAATGAGTGTGAGGGGATGTTAACACCTCCCATGTGGCTGTGCCAGAATCCTTGTGGCTTAGAGTCAGGAAGGCAATGCACCTCTCTGATGACTACCCCAAAAAATCTTTGCTTCAGCATCCTTCTGTGCTCACCGCAGCCTTGCGAATCCCCATGTAACAGCTAGAAGCATGTATCTGTATCTAAGCATGTATCTGTCTGAATAGATATGTAGATACATACATAGAAATAGAAAGTGGCATTATCTGAACTGGGTACCACACCCACCCCTCGTTGTATTCTTTCTAGTAAAATTGAAACCCACTAAAAATTGAGACTGTGTTGGAGTGGAAAGTAGGGAATGAGGAGGACTGAGAAAGAGAAATGAGGGAACAGAACCTCTCAAAGTGCACGTGCTTTTAAGCCTCTAGCTCAGTGCTTCTCCACCTTGCTAACGCCGTAACCCTTTCATGTAATTCCTCATATTGTGGTGACGCCAACCATAAAATTATTCCATTGCTACTTTATAACCATAATTTTGCTACTGCTATGAATCATGATGTAAATATCTGATGTACAGGATATCTGATGTCATGACTCACAGGTTGACAATCACTGTTCTAGTTCCTCAAGACAAACAAACCCGGAGTCGTGTGATGCTCGTACCTTCGGGGGCATCCTTCCCTTTGCAGCTGATGAGACCAAGGAAACCACCACCCTGCTGTGTATATAGGCCATGAACTTACTTAAGGCTGCCATAGCCACCAAGCTCAAGATTCACTCCATTGTCCAACGTGCCCTCTTCCTGATCCCCAGAGGGGCTGAGCTGCCTTTGTGGGGTGTGAACTGAGACAGGAGAGGAAACTAAGGAGCATGCTGAGACAGAGCTAGTGATGTGGGCACCCACATAAGCAGAGATTTTGCCTCTGTCCTAGGCTCAAGAGTCTTAGGTAGAGGAATGTCCTCCCCACCCTTGGCAGAGCCATTGTGGACTTCTGTGATGTACAGGAATAATTCCAACTTTAAATTAAAGATGCCTTGGGCCAACTTCTTGCTTCCAACTCGATCAATATGATGAGAGTTGAGAGCATGAGGTGTCAGCACAAGGGACAATCAATAGCCCATTCTACTGCATCGAGGAGTTCTGTTCTCCTGGGCATCTTGGCAACTTGGCAAACACAAGGCCATTGTCCAACAAATCAGAGAGCTCTGGGTATATGTAAGTTAGATCAGGGTCTCTCAGCTTCCTATTACTGACATTTGGGGCAGAAAAATTCTGTTTGTTAGATGTGGCTGTCCTGTGCATTTTCTTTCTGGCCTCTACTAAACTAGGTGTTAACGTGGGTTTCTGTCTCGTCTGGTCCGGCAGTCATTCAGTCCCAAAGAAACACACTGAGGTCTCTATTAATCATAAACTGGTTAGCCTATTAGCTCAGGCTTTTTATTAACTCTTACATCCTGTATTAACCCATAATGGTTATCTGTGTTAGCCGCACGACTTGGTACCTTTTTTTTAGTAAGGCATTCTCATCTTGCGTCCTCTGCCTGGATTATGACTGCAGACTGACCTTTCCTCTTCCCAGAATTCTCCTCTTCTCCTTGCCCTGCCTCTACTTCCTGTCTGGTTGCCCTGCCTATACTTTCTGCTAGCCAATCAGTGTTTTATTAAAGCAATACAACTGATAAACCTGTAAAGGGTACAAGATCATTGTCCCACAGCAACTAGGTGACATTAAGATATTAGCAGCCCCTCACCAATGTACCAATCCAAAACATCTCCAGATATTTTTCTAAGTGTTTTCTCTAAGCAAGAACCAGTTAGTTCTATGGAGCACTGTAGAGCTGGGAGAATTGAGATTTATAGATGTAGTTACTAAGGCCCGGAAAGGAGGAAATTTGCTTCCTGTCACACACAAGATTTTTGCCAAGTTGCGTGTCTGCAATCATGCACGCATGACAGTGTGTCAGTCACTGTGGTTGGTGACTGACATAAAAAGCCTATTATGACATATAAAGCCTAGTTTGTACCCTTGAGTAGTAACACAGCTATGGCTAAAATTTAATGCTTCCCAGATGTACTGGCCAGTCACTGCTGTTCCCCTTACATGTGTTTTCTTATTTAGCACTAATAAAAACACAATGAAATACATTATTGCTCTCATATCCCATATTGCAGATGGAGACATCCAGTGAAGCCAATTAACCTGTCTGAAGTCAAAGGCTGGGCAGTTTGGAGGTGTTCTGAACCCACTCAGCAGCCACACTTGTGAGCGTTTTCATCCATTGCTCTAAGAGCTCAATCAGGTCATGGTAGTTCAGCAGGAAAATCCCAGTTCAGGAGCTGTGTTGAATAAGTCCTGAATTAAGAATCCTGTCTTGCTATTCACCGAGCAGCTTCAATAAGATCAAAGAGCTCTGGATATTTGTAAGTTAGATCAGGGTTCTCTCAGATTCATGTGACTGACATTTGTTAAGACCACAGAGGTACAAAGAACATACACGATCAACCCCACTACCAACAGTGTTCTGTAAGAGAGCTTTCTGGCTTCAGGCGAATCCCAAGTCCTCTCAAGCCTTTGCTTCCTCGTCTGTGGGGAATTCTGCTGCTGACCGTCTGCTGCTCTGGGTCCTCTTCAAGGATGGGGACATTCTGTATATGGCATGTAATACAAGTCTGAGGGGGCTGGCTGTGCTTGATATCCTAATATGGTCTGTTCTGATAGAGATTAATCTGGTCTCTGCTTATGGGGTCCTGCCGGACGAAACCAATGGCTTCTATCTCTGAAAGTTCCCTTCCGAAGTAGCATGGCACCCCGAAGAGCAAGGGGGACAAGTGACAACTATGTGATGTTGACTGTGATAATGGCAAGTGGAGCTGGCTTCATCTCATTATAGGCAACAGTAATGTGTAGACCAGCCATTGGAAAGCAGTATTCAATGTCTGCGGCTACGAGGGAGGGAGAGCCTGACTCAGAAGAGTAGGCTAAGGAATGACAAGTCCCCACCAGACCCTGAGTCCTGCTTCCACGGTGGCGGCTCAGGGAACAGTAGCCTGCCTAGAAGCCCTTGGAGGCAGAGGAAGGGCAGCTGGGGCCTCACAGCGATGGCTCACTTCCTGGTCACAGTAGAGGGTTTTAGGGTATGAGGGGCCGAGTCTGCCAAGACTGCCTGGCTCTAGAAAGGTCTCGCGGGGGGTCAGGAGAAGTAGGCCCTGTCTGCTCACCACCCAGCCAGAATGACTACAGAAACGAGGAACCAGAGAACCAGGGCTGTCCAAACAACCCCAGGTCTGGCTGGCTACCGATATATAGAGTGCATCAAAGCTAGGAATGAGTCATCAGCAAGTCCGTGTGAACTGAATGAATGTGATAAGGCCTATTCAATGTGGTGAGCTGTGAGCCGGCGTGAGCAAACGGCTCACATTATGCCCAATTGTAGGAGATGCTTAATAATGCTAGATCCTTCTCCACACAAGCAGTCATTTTCCAACAGTGGAATGAGGGCCCTGCCTGTAAGACATGCCAAAGACAACAGAGCCAAAGAACACATGGCCTTGACTTTCAAGGACCATCCAGCCCATTAACGAGAACAAGTCAAATCGTAATGGTTATGTTGTAGAGATAGGAAGAAGTTTAGCCAGATTTGGCCTCTGCACAGTGAGCTGCCTGCTGGACCATGCTGCCCTAGTGATGTGTTTGAACAGGATCAATCCTGCAGCAATTGGCTGTGCGTAGCTAGTGCCCTCCTGGGTTCTGGAACATAGGCTTAAGGGCTTGCGGTGTTTGAGACTGTAGGAGAGAATTTCCTGGGCTCCTTCCCAGGCATCCGTCTCAAGTCTCCCTGCCTCTCTAAGCACATAGATTTCTCCTGCAGCCATGACTATCTGGGGATTTTATTATGTGTGACCAGAACTCCACAGTGTGTGAAGGGAACAATTGGTCCCCAAGGGCATAAGAGTTGCCAATTGCTTGAATTGCTAATACTTGAAAGACTTACATCCAAAGGGTGTATTGCTAGTGAGGTCTGAGCCC